CCCGGGCGCGCGGCCAAGTCCGGGGCGGGCGGGGCGGCCGGCGAGCACCTGTGCGCACGCGCACTGGCCCTGCGGCCCCCGGCGCGCACCTGTGCTCCTGGCTCACGGGCGTGCTCCTGGGTGTGTGCGTGTGTGTGTGTGTGTGTGTCAGCAGGTTGGGGTTGTTTTCCCACAGCAGACCCGCCCACTTGCTCACTCATTCTCTCACATTCACCCACCTACCCTGCCCTCCCTCCCTCTCTTCCTCCTTCCGTGTCTAACAATAGCTGTGATGTAGGGGGCCTGAGGCCAGTTCGTGTAGTACCGTAGTCCCAGACTGAATAATAACTTTAAAAAATGAAGAACTATGCCAAACTGGCAGCTTTTTATTTTGCCAAGTAAGGATATTTACATAAAAAACCAGTACCTGCCAATGAATTCTTTCTCCGCGTGTGTGAGCATCTGTGTTCTGCGGGTGTGTGCAGGGCTGGAGGTGCAGTGGTGAGCTCCACTGGCACAGTGCTTCCGTGCTGGTGTGTGTGGGAAACAAAACAGCAAGCAATAAACAAAGAAAGAAGACAATGTCTAAAACTTGCTGAAAAGGGGAGTTTTCTTTACGTAGATGGGGGAGAGAGCAATTCAAATTGTGCTTTTCAAAGTGCCGGGGTTCTGAGGGCGTACCTGTTTGGAGGTCTATTCTGTGGCTGTTGTATCCAGGCCCCCTTGTAGTGTCTGACACAGAGCATGTGCTCCAACCGGGCTAAGAATTGTGCCCCTTGAGCAGGTTGTTTTGTTTTGTTTTATTGTATTTTGAGACAGGATCTCACTGTGTAGTTCAGGCTGGCCTTGAGCTGACTATGTCGCCATGGCTGGTCTCAGACTCATGGCAGTCTTCCTGCCTCAGCCTCCCACGTGCTGAGATTACAAGCATGTACCACCTTGCCTAAAATAAGTCATTTACAGGTCATGGCAAGAGGAAATACCTTTCTTGAACTTAGGTGTGGCTATGGCTTGGCATTTGTTTTGGTTTATGTCTAAAAGGTCCCCCCCCCCCAAATCTCATGTGCTCATAGGCGGGGTTTTTGGGAGATGATTTGGGGGGGCCTATATTCATCAGTGGAGTAACCCATGGATTAGTTTATGGCTGATTGTGCTGTTAGGTGGTGAGGCCTGCTCAGAAGAGGTGGTTTACTGGGAGGGCATGTTCTTGTCCCCACTGCTATGCTCTTATTTCCTTCCTGGCCACCGTGGATTGAACAGGTTTTCTGTCTTGGAGCCAGCCAACCACTCACTGAACCCACTGAAACCATGAGTCAGAGTAAACCTCTCCCTTCAGTTACAGCTGTCCAGTATTCTGTCCCAGTGAGGAGAAAATGACCAACACAGTGACTAACTCAGGATTTCATTTCCTGTTTTGGCCAGAAGCACAACTCTCAGTGGTTACTATCTTTGGAGAATGGATATTAGGGGAAAATCCGAAGTCCGAGTGATCTTTGGCTTATTCGCTTAGTTTCTGCTCTCCTTTGATAACGTTGTGAACTTGCCCCCCAGCCCCTTCAACATTTCACTGGGCACTTGGGTGCCTAACTCCATCCTTGTCCTGCGTTATCACCACTGAAGCTGCAGGATGCAGCACTGAGCTCACTGACTTCGAAGGACTGCTCTCCCTCTCTGCTTCAGCATCCATGGCCGTCACAGTGTAGAAAGTGACCATCCCAGGCCTTCCCACCTCCAAAATCATTTTTTCTTTCAATTTCAAATGTACAAGAAATTATACAATGCCAAGAAATAAAAAATATATCATGACGCTATTGATAGTTGTCTGAAGGTGATGGACAGCAGTGGCTAAATAAGCCCTGCTGCTAATTTACCTCCGAAGGTTTGCTTAGCACCTCAGAAATATTTTTTCTCTTGACAGAAAGCAGTCAGAAACCCTAACCTCATTACTCCTTACTTCCATGGTGTAAATGCTTCTCCATGTCTAAGTTTCAAGAAAACTGGAATGGCAACTGGCTTACAAAATCTCTGAAAATTTAACAGTTGGCTGTCCTGGACCCTGGTGATCTGTCTCCTGTATACCAATGTCTTCATTCCACTCACACCTGTCCTTTGACGTTGCTCAGAACCAGTCTGAGATGGGAGTCAGTGAACAGAAGGGATACAAAGTGGAGCTAGATCCCTAACGATACCATGCACTAGTTTTTCTCTCACACTTTCTCACTCTCTCTTTTTCAGTTTTTCTTTTTAATGGTACATAATCATTGTAAATATTGTGTACAGGGAAATAAGTTAGTATGTAATGATCACAGCAGGCTAATTAACATTTCTCTAATTTCTTTATGTTTGGAACTTTTTCTAGTTCTAAATTTTCCTACTCCTAGCCTCCATTGTTTCTTACAATTCATTCTTCAAAAGTTCTGCACAAAATATGTAATAAGTTACAAACCAGAATCAGCCTCCTGTGCTGTGCTAGAGCTTAGAGGTATGCTAAAAAGTAAGATGAAGATCTGATTTTTAAAAATTAATCTATTTGCTATTAATCTCCCTCAAAATGCTTCACTTCAACCGCATCTCATTGTTCTTGTTACTTCCTGAAGCCGTTATGGAAGTCTGCTTTTGTGAGTGTCTTTAGTTGCAGTATTATTGCTGCCTTGACGTTCTGAATTAATGAAAAAAGTTTACCTTTCATGGTCATTTTGACTTTGGGAATGAGCCAGAAGTGGCACAGTACTAGAATGATCAAATGAGGTGGGTGAGGAAACACCATAATGTTTTTATCTGACAGAAACTGTGATACATATAAACTAAATTTTCAGAAAGTGGTAAGAACAATGGAAGAAGTGTGTTTGAAGGGACTGGAATATTTTGAGGAGGATTAATGGCAGTGTGTCTTTTACTGTAACAACTTTTTAAATTTAAACATTCACCATATGTTTTCATCTGACCTCATGTTTCTGTCAAACCGTATTTTAGTACCTGTTCTCCACCTCGCTCTCCTTTCTCCTTCCCAGCCCCTGGTAATCGCTTTTTTTTTTTGTCTTTTTGAGACAGGTTCTCACTATGCAGTTCAGACTGGCCTTAAGCTCAATTTGTAGCCCAGGCTGGTCGCAAATGTGCAACAATCCTCCTGCCTCAGCCTCCTGAATGCTAGGATTACAGGTGTGCACAACCACACCTGGATGAATTGTAAGAAACAGTGGAGGCCAGGAGTAAGAAAATTTATTGGAGAATAGGAATGGGGAAAGGGGATTAAGAATAACTCCTGAGAGACAGGAGGGGTCCCGAATGGATTGCCAAGGAGCCCTCCTCTCAAAGGAAATTTTATAGAGCAAAATCATGAGGCAGGTACAACATGGGTCAAAATTGTTAGGTCCCTCACATTGTACCCCACCCAACTTGAAAAGAAAAACTCCAACAGACAACCAATCTGTTCAGAAAGAAAGCCCCTCACTCAGCTCGAGAGACTAAAGTAAATGTGTTTGTCAGGATGGTTCCCAGGCCTTGTTCTCAGGCTTACAGGAGATCTCATAAGTCTACAGATTGCTACGCTGTAAATCAGCAACACACCAATGTCCTCCTGCACTTCCCTCCCCCAGAGGCACCAGACCCACCAATCACCCCTAAGAAACTTAAATTTTCCACCTTCCTCAGTGGAATTTCCCCCTCCCATAGCCAAAATAGTCTATGAAGTAGGCTCCCTTCCTTTGTTCACGTCCAGCGGCATTTTTGCCCTTGTCCAGGTTGCACCCAGCCTGAAATAAAGATATCGCTGTTTGCTTTATCTTGCCTGTCCTGGTGGTCTCAGTTGCTGCTCTGGGTCTAGCCTGACAAAAATTATGATCAACTAATAAGATTTCAAGTATGGTTGCTTAGCTAATATTGATCCAGTGGTAGCAAGGGTACATGATTGACATCATTACCCTTACTTGATAATCTATAGTCTTGGCCTTGTCTTTAATCTTAGCAGTCTTAGTCTTAGAGTCTTAGTAGGTGGGAGAGGATGGCCCACTCCTAATGAAATAAGGAGAAATCTCGAAAGTGTAGTACCAATAATCCCAAGCCTCCATTCATCCCCTAGGAAAATATGTAAAACTCACCATTGTGAATTTAATCTGCAGATGCATCTCCAGCCATAGTCCTGATGGATTCTCATCTTTTTTTTTTTTTGTCCTTTTGAGACAGAGTCTCGCTATGCAGTTCAGGCTGGCTTT